ATAGCTTTGTGCCTTTTCCTGGGACTCACTTGGTAGCCCAGGCTGGCCTCGAACTCACAGAGATCCGCCTGGCTCTGCCTCCCGAGTGCTGGGATTAAAGGCGTGCGCCACCACCGCCCGGCAACAAGAGTTTTATTAAGATGAGAAAAGGATAGATGTGATCAGGCCTGCTGAAAGGACAGGTGTGGGAAGGGGGAGGGAAACATGGGGGCCGGCTTTTAAAGACCAAGCCACACCTGCACACAAGCCCACATGGCTACTCCACGCATACACATAGATCACGTGTTTGCGCTGCGTGCTTTATGCAACCATGTAGCCCCGGGGTCATGGGTCACGAAGGACGTATGACCGGGAAACGACTAAGTGGGAAGACTCATTTCTACTTCACCCATGACAAGTCAGTGGTCAGAAGGCACACCAATGAAATCTAACCACTCACTAGTACAGGCAATAACTGAGAACCCCCGAAAGTGCTCAAATGGTTTCCCATTTGTGTCTCTGTAAAATGTGCCACAACCACGTCATACAGCAGTCAAAATGGGATATGCTCTTTTCCCAAGTCATCCCAGTGCCTGCAGGTTGCTGGTCTCAACAAAACACATAATCTGAATCATATGACGAAGTGAAAAGCGGTACCTGAAACCTAAAGGTACAAACACGGGGAAAGCAAAAACAAAAATCAACCATACACCTGAAATGCAATTACAGCTTTTGCTAATTAGCATGGGCAATGCACATCAAAATCAGAGCGCGTGTGTACCCAGCGAATTCCGCCTCTGGTCCTCAATGTGCTGGTTGACTTCAATGTTTTTTCTTAGTGGACACACGTTTTCAGGAGACAGGCTCTGGCACACTCAGTGGTGTGACACTAGACAGTCTTGTTATCTGTGTGGCCCTGCAAACCCTCTGTTTTCTTAGGTGTGTTCTAAACTGACTCTGGAGAGCACAGAAATAAGCACTGCTCTGGACAGGTGCTCATGTCTGACTGCTGTCAACATCACACGGTCAGGAGTCAACACTCTCCTAAGAGCAAGCTCAGGTTCCCCACTGTCTGTAGGGGGCTCGCTAGCTGTCCTGCGGGTTCTGGGCACTCAGAAGTGTTGGTAGGGAGGCAGCACCTGAGAGCTGAGACTAGGGAGGGCTCGGGGGGTTAAGAGCACTGGTTGCTCTTGCCCAGGCTCACAACCACCCATAGCTCCAGCCAGAAGATGTGACCTACACAGACACACAATAATAAAAATAAAAAATAAAAAATAAATAATAAAAAATAAATCTAAAACCAACCAACAAACAAACAAGCCAGGGGTGGGGTGATGGTGAAGCAGCACTTGGGAGGCAGAGGCAGGTGGATCTCTGTGAGTTCGAGGCCAGCCTGGGCTACCAAGTGAGTTCCAGGAAAGGCGCAAAGCTACACAGA